AGCAGGGTAGCAGTTCGACCCAGTCAATGGATGGATTCAGTGAAGCGCGGCGCCAGCATCATCAGCTTTTCGGATTCACGACCGCTCTTTCAACCCATAGCAGGGTAGCTGTTCGACCCAGTCATTGGCTGGATTCAGTGAACTGCGGCGCGAGCATCATCAGCATCAGCTGGAAATCTTTCTGGATTCATCTCCGGCTCTTTCAACCCCTAGCAGGGTAGCCATTGGATGGATTCAGTGAACCGCGGCGCCAGCATCATCAGCATCAGCTGGCAATCTCTTTGGATTCACGACCCCATCTCCGGCTCTTTCAACCCATAGCTTTCTCCCTGCGAGGCGCGGCGTAGATTGGATCCTTGAGCTGGGTGTTGGGATCCACGGAGAGGCTTTGGCCTTGGAAGCGGGATGTGTAGCTGCGAGCTTTAGACAGGCGCGAGGTTGGAGTCTGTAGATTTGGGATTGGAATTGAGGGGTTGGGCGCTACAGGGCGCAGTGAAGCGGGGCTTGAGTAAATCATGGCCAGGATCAATCTCAGAGCAAGACTCCTGGTAAAGGTCCAGGGGTCTCCGTCTTCGCGTCGATGTGTGGACATGCCAGAAACGGGAAGCATCAAGCTCGGCCTGATTAGAGCCTCAGCTGTAGGCACGAGGCTGCTGGGTCAGAAAAGCGCCTTGTAAACCTGGGTCCCAAAAGCCAAAATTTGCCAAAGCCCTCATGTGCAGGCCGGGGTGCAAGAGATGTCCTCACTCGCGTGCCTCGCTCGCGGATAGGGCGGGAGATTGCGGGGCAATCTCGGCTTCGGCGTAGTTGAGTTGTTTCGACTATCACATAGAGGCTGCAGCCATATCCAAAAGCTGACTCCAGGCGCCCGAATTCCCCGTCCTCGACAAGCCACCCCTCTAAATGCTTTTGCTGCCATACTTCAGATTTTTCTGGCAGGAGCCTTCCTGGTGCCACAGATGGCCGCTTTGCCACCGCCGCGGTGCTTTGACCCGACTTTACGAGGAGACTGTGATGTGCTAGGAGGCGCTACGCAAGGCAGGGGGCTGCGCAAACACCAATCTTGGAAACCCTCGATTCGCGAAAGCTCCCCCAAACCTGAAGCGCCTCCCCAAGCTCTCGACCCCACAGTCTTACGCCCAGAAGCTATGAACCTTGAACCCTACACGGGACTTTCAGGTGCGAGCGCTGCTTCGGCAGCTGCTCCCAGCGACGAATCTGCCGCCTGGTGGACCATCTTTTTACTTGTTGGGACAGCTCTCAGGCTTGAGGTTCTCTGCTGACATGGATCCGAAGCAGAGGCAGAGCATGGCAGATTTCTGGTGCCATTGAGCTTCGCACTTGAGGCTTCGAGATATCAGCGGCTCTGAAATCTGAAGCCAAACCCTGAAGAAGCCCGGATCCTGAAACAGAGCCAAACCTTCGAACCACCAGCCCGGCATAGACCCAGTGGCAGTGGTGTTTTCCTTCCATGGCAGGTGAAGGCGTCGTGCTGGTCCTGAACAACCTCGGAGGCCTTTGCTCGGGTTCGAGGTCTCAGGTTTGGGATGCAGGGCTTGCCGGTATTCGGAACCTGGCTAGGGAATGCCGTGGATCTACTCGAAGCCGCCAAAAGAACCCATACCAAGAGCCGATCAAGAGCCAGGGGTTTCTCTGCTGGGCTGAAGGGTTTAGAGTGGTTGAGTTCAGAGTTTCGGAACTTAGGCATCATGGACACTGACGTAGGTGGTAGATGCAAGGGGGGAGGAGAGGATTCCCACTTCGGGCGTCATTGCTTCGATGCTTTGAGTTACGTCTTGGGGTGTTGAGTTTTTGGGCTTGCGACGACATGCTCCTTTCCTTGCGGTCACGGAGGCACGTCCCCCTTGGAGATGTCAGTGCTGTGCGATGCCGCCTTTCGCCAGCTGCAGGCCCTGGGTGCCGAGGTGCCCGGACATGGAAGTTGGTCTGCCTTGCTTCTTTACATTTCGGGATCGGCTCTCCAAAACGTTCACTGGTGCTGTCGAGCTGGGCGGCATGGATACGGCGCCACATCGAGCGATAGGCCCCCTGAAACGCTCGAATTTCCAAAGCCTCGAACCTGGACTTCCGAGCTCCAGACAAAGAAGCTGCAGCCCTGAGGCTGACTCTGAGCCCTAGTGACAGGACTGACGTTATAGCGTACCATGTAGCTAGCCGTCATGAACCATCATGAAGGGGCTCGTGATAGCTCCTGTGGGCGCCTGTTTTCTTGGTACCACAGTATGTTCAAGCTCCTCTTTCTTACTTGACCCGAGGTCGCTGGTTGCGTGCAGGGTACCTTGGTCACCTGCTTGGACATGCATGGAGCCCCTCGGCTTCTGACAGTCGGATGATAACCCCAAGTGAGGGTGCCTCGTTCGTGTCAGGTAGATCGAGCCACTCCAGGTCCTTTTAGCTTGTGTAGGCTCCTAGGAGTATATCCTAATACAAGCAGCTGTTGGCCTGATCCTTCCACTCAAGCCCGACGCCCACTTAAGGATCATGGGACTTAGTAAGTAGGGTTATATTCTAAGGTAACTATACTTCTAACCCCAATTAGGGGACTTATAACCTTACTAAGTCCCATGACCCTTCCCAAAATAGGGGACCCTAATATAGTACACTAAGTAGTAGGATCCTTATT